TTCTTTGACCAGCACTTTACAATGGAAGAGGAACAGGAGACAAGGAGAGAAACGGAACCCGGGACACGGCGGATGGAGAAGGAAGAAAAAGATCAGGAAGAGGCAAAAAGATTGGAGAGAGAAAGAATGGAGAGAGAGGGAGCGAGGGAAAAGACTCAAAGAGTTACCAGAAACACAACAAAGTTGAAAATCACAAATAGATAAACTCGATAGAGATGGAAGGAGAAATAAAAATTATATCAATTAATATAAACGGACTCAACTCCCCAAGGAAAAGGAAATATATATTTACGAAATTGCAAAAATTGGACTTAGATGTGATAACTTTACAAGAAGTACACATTAAAAGACAGCAACAAATATTGTTGGAGAATCAAAAATTAGGAAAATTATTCACATCCCTAGGAAGAGAGGAGTGGCAATTTATGTCAAAAACCATTTAAAAGCTAAACAGATATATACAGATTCGGAAGGACGTATTTTAATAACTGAAATACAAACAGAAACAAGGAAAATATTGCTAGCTTCTATCTATGCACCTAATGGAAACCAGAGAGAATTTTACAAGAAACTACATGATACAATTAAAGATTTGGAGTACGAAAATATCTGTGTTGTCGGAGACTTCAACGCAATCGTGAATATACAAGATGACTATCGAAGTAATAAACAAAGTAAGACTCGAAAAAGAATCTTACCGGATACATTTAAGGATATGACTGAAGAATTGCAATTACATGATGGATGGAGAGAGGCCAACAAACAAACCAAACAATATACCTTCTACTCAAACCCACACCAGTCATGGTCTCGGATTGACATGGCCTGGATGACGCCAGACCTCAGGAAGGATCTACAAGACATCGAAATTATACCGAATACATGGGCCGACCATAATCCTATAAAAATAACATGGAGAGGACAGCGAAAGCAGAAGAGGTGGATGATGGACACCGGAATAATAAAAGATAGAGATTATGTGCAGATGATGGAGAACGAACTTAGAATATTTTATCAAATAAACACAAAGGAGCAGACTTCAGTACAGAATCTGTGGGACACTACTAAGGCCTATATAAGAGGCCTCACAATAGCATACACAGCAAAAAAAAATAAAGATAAACAACAAAAGAGGAAAAAATTAATGGAAGAACTCAACATATATGAGTCACAATTACAGAAACAGCCTGACGACAAAACAACAAGGGAAAAATTGAATCGTACTAAACATGAGTTGAACTTAATTTCACAAGCAGAAATCGCACAGAAAATGAAAATGGTCAAGCAGAAATACTTTGAATATGCAAACAAAACAGGTCGCTGGCTGGCATACAGACTGAAGAAAGAGAGGGAAAAAAGAATAATATGCCAATTGCAGGATGAAACAGGACAACTATATAGTATGAATTTAGATAAAAAACGTATAGTAAGGGAATTCTATCAAAACCTCTACACACAAGAAGAAACTCAAGACCAAGATATTATGGAATACCTACAAAAAACAAATATCCAGAAATTAGAAGAATCCCACAGAGAAATACTGAATAAACCAATAACAATGATGGAGTTGATGGAAGCCCGAAAGAAACAGAAGAACAACAAAGTCCCAGGTCCGGATGGAATTCCAACGGAATTTTATAAAAACTGCCAGTCTGCAATAGATGAACTACTACTACAAGTTCTCAATGAGGCACTGCTGGAAGCAGAAACACCTAAATCTTGGGCCGAAACAATTATCTCACTCATCCCCAAAGAAGATACGGATCCGACTAAAGTCCAAAATTATAGACCCATCTCGCTGTTAAATGTAGATTATAAACTATTCACGACAATTATAGCACAGAGGCTGAAAACAATTATACATAATTATATACACCCCGACCAAAATGGTTTTGTCCCAAGGAGACAAATAAAAAACAACATGAGGACAATAATAAACGTTCTCGAATACTACGAGCAAAACATCAATAATCAGGTAGCGCTAATCTTTCTCGACGCGCAAAAGGCGTTCGACAATTTGAACTGGAAATTCCTTATAGCACAACTGCAGATTATGAATTTCGGCGACAAATTCCTGAAAATGATTAAGAAAATATATTCTTCCCAGACAGCGAGAATTATAATTAATGGAGATATGACCGAAAAAATAAGCATCCAAAAGGGGGTAAGACAAGGATGCCCGATATCGCCTCTACTGTTTATAATCTCACTGGAAGTCCTTCTAAAGGAAGTAAGAAAGGAAGAAGAAATAAAAGGACTGAAGATAAGGAATGAGGAGTATAAACTACAGGCTTTCGCGGATGATGTGGTCTTCATAGTGGAACAACCGGAAGTAACGGGAGTCAAATTATTAGAGAAGATAGAGGAGTATGGCAAAGTGGCGGGGCTTAAGATCAATAAACAAAAAACCAAAGTCTTGACCAAAAATATGACAATGACACAAGAGGAAAAATTAGAAGAAGAATTAGGAATGCAAATTGCGAAGAAAGTAAAATATTTGGGAATTTGGCTTACTACAAAAGCAACAACTATTAGAGAGGACAATTACATTAAATTGATGAAGCAAATTAGAAAAGACTTGGAAAGATGGAATAAGGTACAACTATCATTTCTTGGCAGAATAACGTCTGTAAAGATGAACATATTACCAAGACTCCTATATCTCTTCCAAGTGATACCAATTGGTCCGGGAAAAGATTTCTTTAAGGATCTCAATAAGACAATAATGAAATACATCTGGCAAGGAAAGAAAGCTAGAATTAAAATAAGATGCTTACAGGACACAAAGGAGAAGGGAGGCCTAGGTCTACCAGACTGGGAGCTATATTACAAGGCGGCGGCGTTGAATTGGATCAGAGAATGGATAGATCTATCAAATAGGAGAACGCTATACTTGGAGGGATTTGATCTGAGTCGAGGTTGGCATGCCTTTCTGTGGGAAGGCACAGACAAGCAACATCCGTACTTCCAGAGACATGTAATAAGAGGTGCACTATATAAAACATGGCAAGATATCAGAAGGCAACACTATAGTAAAATCCCACGATGGTTGTCGCCTATGGAGGCGCTAATTTATCCAAACACTATAGAAATAGGAAAGATGCGGAAATATCAAGAATTGTTGAGTAGTGAGGGAGACCTACTTACGAGACAAGAACTGGAAAGACGAGGCATTATGATTGATTGGTGGCCATATCTTCAAATTGAGTCAAAATATACAGCAGACCGGAGACATTATGATTTTCAAAGCCAACCAAGTGAACTAGATAAAATTTTAAAAGGCACAGATGAGAAAATAATATCTAAAATTTATGGATATTTAATAAGGTATAAATTAGAGGAGGAAACAGTGAAAGAAAACATGGTAAGCTGGGCAAGAAATATAGGTCACAATATAGAGTTGGATAGATGGGACAAGCTATGGGCAGAAAATTATAAGATGACACTGTCGATTCCATACAAAGAAAATTTATACAAGATATTTTATAGATGACACCATCCTCCGGCACGTTTGGCTAAAATGTTTCCAAACACATCACCAATGTGTTGGAAGTGCAAGACACAAATGGGGACATATTACCATCTCTGGTGGTCTTGCAGGAAGGCACAACGCTACTGGCAAGAGATTAAGAGAATAATCGAAGAAACAACGAGGCAAAGTGTAGAAATGAAACCAGAATTCTTTCTATTTGGAATGACTACACCACAGTGTACCAAGGAGATAAAATATCTTACCATCCACATATTGACAGCGGCACATATAGTGTACGCTCAGAATTGGAAATCCGAGATAATACCAACAGAAGAAAAAATAATAACAAAAATAAATGAATGCGCAGAGATGGATAGGCTCACAAAAGAGCTCCAAGATAAAGAGAACACTGACTTTTATTTAGTTTGGCAAAAATGGTACACATGGTTAGAAAGAAGAATAGGGCCAACAACATAGGACATTAGGAGAACATAACTCAAGAATTGTAGAAATAGATACATGAGATGAGCCGTAGGATTGTATAAATAAATGGTTAATATGTTTGTAGAAAGATACTGCTGAACTTCAATGAATATATCAAGGCATAAGCAAGTGAATTTGTAAATAGTATGATTGAGGAAAATTGGTTAAATGGACATTAATCACCGATGCGAAGGTTTTCTAGAAGTTAGTCGATTGACTCTTTGTTAATGTATAAGTGTTTACATGTATTTGTGTTTTATGTTTGTTTATGTTAATAAAACTTAAAAAAAACAAAAAACAAAGTTCCAAATGCACTAAAAAAGTGACTTATGACCGTTTTTCACCACTTACAACCATAGTAGCATCCCCAAGGTCATGTAGTCAAAATTCGGATGCTTGGAAACTGACTCATATTTATGAGGGTTGCAGTGTCCTGGGATCATGTGATCACTTCTTGTAACTTTCTTACAAGCAAAGTCAATGGGGAAACCAGATCCACTTAACAACCATGTTACTAACTTAAAAGCTACAGTGATTCACTTAACAACTGTGGCAAGCAAAGCTATATAAGGGGTCAAAATTAATTTAACAAATGTTTCACTTAGCAACAGAAATGTTGGGCTCAGCTATGGTTGTAAATTGAGGATTACCTGTAGAATGAAGTTTCAACTTTAGAGAAAAAGATTAATTTATAACTAGTTATAACTACAGAGAAGAGATTGGAACCCTCCCCCCCCCTTTTCTCTTTTTTCTTTTGCTGCACTTTCAGGGTTTTTTGTTTGTTTGTTTGTTTCTTACTTTATAGTAGTTTCTATTGGTTTTTAACCTACCTCTTAAGAACTTTTAATAAAATTATTTTAAAAAGGTGAACTCTTGTGTTCAGAGGGTGAGTGAAGGTAAACCCGGTGCCAAAAAGAGACAAGTCTCCGGCCTCGCACGTCAGCCCCGCATCGAGTACTGCACCTTGAGGAGGGAGCGAGCCTTCTCCCCTTTGAGCTTCTCCGTCGTGGCGTTGGCGGCATGGACGTTGTGGGTGGAGGAGGTGATGCCGCGCAGACCGAGGATGGTCGACACCGAGAAGTGCGAGATGCCGGACTCTCCTTCCGTCGAGCCACGGGTGGTCGTGCTGGTGGTGCTGACGCTGCGGAGGCGTGAGGAACTGGTGGAGGTAGCACCCTCTTCCGTCGAGTCCAGCAGCGGCGGCGGCGGCAACGGGGCGTTGGGCCGCAGCGGCGGCAGCTCCACGGAGTTGCTCCCCTTGCGGCGCCCAGGCATGGCCATGGCGAGGGCGGCTGGAGCTGCGACTGCAGGGGGGGGGGGACGCTCAGGCGAGGGCGTCGGGAAGCTGCTGACCGCGTCCTTTTCACATCTCCCGCTTCACCGGGAGCCTTCCTGCGAGAGGCGGAGAATTCGCGGCGAGCCGCCTGCTCTTCCCTCTCCGCTTTCTTGCCCTCCCCTTTCCCGCTCAGGCATCGTCACAATTTGGATCCCTGGCGGCGGCGGGCGGCGGCGGTGGCTACCCGGAGTTATTATTAAAACCCCCATCTCTGCCCAGCCTGGAGACGCTGATTTTTCGCGTCTGTCGTCTTCTCTGCAGACCGGCGCCCGACGAACGACGGTGTGGGAAAATGACATAGCCGCAACTTGGTAAGATTTTATTGAAACTAGATTTGGTGTTGCACTCAGAAGATCATAATGGCTAACCAGATAAGCAAGACACCCAAATCGGAATCTCCCTTAAGTTGCCCTTGTGCAAGTAGTAGACGACTCTGCACTCATTTGAAGTTCATGGTTAATTAGAGGTATTTACTGATAGATCCATCGTTCTGTCAAACGCCTCTTAACGTTTTTTGAGTTCATGCCCTCAATCTATAGAGCTGCTCTCATTCACATAGCATACTAAACCAGAATCAAACTAACAACATTTAAGGCTCAGGCAGAAGAGGTTGAGACCAGTTTATAGTGAAGCATGGTATCATGAAGCATTCCCTTACCTATGAAGTATATTGTCATATATTGTAAGAATTGCACTATGATCCTATGGATAATGTATGACTTAGTATATTAAAAATATTTTTATTTTTGTTACCTTGGATTCATTTAGTTACCCTGTGTATTCAAGTGCCTTTTTCCAGGTTTTCTAGGTTCCAATGCAAGCCAGTCTATCCAAGCCAGTCTATTCTAATTATTTATACAATTCAGGATATTAAAAAATATTTTTGTATTTTCCTGTCACTTTAAGCCTTCCTCATTTGTTACCTCGGATTCATTCACTTATTCAAGTACCTCCTTCCATAATAAAAAGACTTTCCAATGCAAGATGATCTTGTTTCACATCATTTACTTCAAATTAATCCTGAAATATATACCACATTATATACCAAATACTAGTATATTACTTTCAAGTTTATAAAAGTATATCAAGACATTTATGTACTTGCATCTTGAAAGAAGAAAAAAACTGTGTTCTTCTTTAAATATAGCAAAAGCACACTGCTGATTTAACAGTCTTTAAATTATTAGGCAAAGGTTGTTTAGCTTTTAATCCTAAAGTATATAGATAAAACATAAAAACCCCAGCATTTTGAATTTGGTAACGGTCTATATAATTTACAGAGCACTTTCATATATGCACATGAATTACTCAAATCTGATAGGTTCACATCAGAACTAGTCCTAGCAGCAAATTTCTTTTAGAAATCATTCCATTTTGGGGGGATAGGTGCATAAACCTTTATAATTTAGAACATCTGTGGAAGTATTTTCCAGAAGTTTATATATCATGTGTAATGAATGGAATGCCCTTGAATTAGTGAAATGTGCAAAATTTATTTCTTAAATCTTCAACCTGTAGCTTCTGAATTTTCTTTTTGTGGCACTTGAAACTAATTTACCTGCCAAAAATCAATAGCAGTTTCCTACTATTCCAAGGTGGAAATTCAATGGAAACAGAAGTATAAATCCTGCAAGATGCTTCAAATATTTTACAAAAATCCATAATCTAAGCAAAAATGTAAAATCCTAGCCTAAGCTGTATACATGGCACAATCCAGGCTGTTTTGCATTATGTCCCATATTAACTCCATTTTTTCCAATAGATCATTTATTCCTATTTTAGGATGTAAAATGAACTATATTTTAGCATGCTCTCTGAAAAATTGATTTCAATATTTAAAGTTAATATTGTCTGTCCATAATTGAAGAAAAGCAATCCAACTTGACAAAATCCTAAAATTAATACTGTAAATGCAGTTCACACATATCCTTTCAAAAATGGGGAAATTATAGAAAATTGCTTTTTAAAAATCCTGAAAATCCTAAATTTATAAAAATATTTTACAGTCTAACCTGCACAATTATTGAAAGCATAAGACTTTTTATAAAATGTCCATAATGTTTTTATGCTTCTGCTGTAATCTAGTCTTCTGGTATGTACTACTAAAAGTCTTGTTCCTGTAACCTTTAACTGAGTGAAATGTGCACCACAGGGTACAATTTTTGAATCGGATATCTCAAATCAATTAGCTATCTGGAATCCATGACTCCTGTAGTATTGAAATTTGGAAAATGTTATAAAATATTTTATGAAATAAAATTAACATAAAACAGTTTATGACATAGGACAAAATGTCATAAAACATTTCCTGTGTTGATGTTTGTGTTATACCAGGGTTGTCAAACTGGATTTCTTCGAGGGCCGGATCAGCATTGTAGTTCTCCGTGGGCCAGTGGTGGTGGGAGGGGCGGGAGGGGGACGGATGCTTCCTGCAGCCCCTTGCCAGCCAAAATGGGGCACAGGGGTCTGCGCACACCCCCCTGGCTCCTCATTTTCACCTTCCATGGCCCTCCTGCAGCACTCTGCTGGCTGTTTTCAGGGCCGTTTTTGGCCCGGTTTTCAGCCAGCAGAGTGCTGCAAGAGGCCATGGAGAACGAAAATGAGGTGCGGGGTGGGGGGTGGGGAGAGCACATGCAGCCCATTTTAGTTGCCAGAGGCATCGCAGACCGATCCTTTGGTATTTCCAGGCTGCCCCATGGGCCAGATTTAAGCACCGCAGGCCTTGAGTTTGACACCCCTGTGCTAGACAGTTCATCTAGGAAGATACATTTCTGAATATATTCCAACTTTTCCAGTGAAGGCAGTACATTAAAAGTTCTTCATTGTTGAAGTCACAGGAATCTGGTGAGAAAATATCTCTGAAAGGATGAGACAACGGGTCATAGGTTGCCTAGTTTCTAATAAAAGTTTTACATAGATACACTATAGCCTAAAATACCTACCTAACAAGCATCCTCATATAGAATACTAGCTTTCTAGTATGTATTACATGGTACACCAGACTGTTCTTCTAGCAAAAGAGCGTGGCTTGGTGGGCGTGGCAGGGGAAGGATACTGCAAAAGATAGCTAATGAATCAAAATATCCCCTTGATTTAGTCTCCCTACACGTCTACAGGTGAAACTCAAAAAATTAGAATATCGTGCAAAAGTTCATTTATTTCAGTAATGCAACTTAAAAGGTGAAACTAATATATGAGATAGACTCATTACATGCAAAGCGAGATAGTTCAAGCCTTGATTTGTCATAACTTTGATGATTATGGCTTACAGCTCATGAAAACCCCAAATTCACAATCTCAGAAAATTAGAATATTACATGAAATCAATAAAACAAGGATTGTACATAGAACAATATCGGACCTCTGAAAAGTATAAGCGTGCATATATACTCAGTACCTGGTTTGGGCCCCTTTTGCATCAATTACTGCCTCAATGTGGCATGGATGCTATCAGCCTGTGGCACTGCTGAGGTGTTACAGAAGACCAGGATGCTTCAATAGCGGCCTTCAGCTCTTCTGCATTGTTTGGTCTCATGTCTCTCATCTTTCTCTTGACAATGCCCCATAAATTCTCTATGGGGTTCAGGTCAGGCGAGTTTGCTGGCCAATCAAGCACAGTAATCCCATGGTCATTGAACCAGGTTTTGGTACTTTTGGCAGTGTGGGCAGGTGCCAAGTCCTGCTGGAAAATGAAGTCAGCATCCCCATAAAGCTCGTCTGTGGAAGGAAGCATGAAGTGCTCCAAAATCTCCAGGTAGACGGCTGCGTTGACCCTGGACTTAATGAAGCACAGTGGAACACCAGCAGATGACATGGCTCCCCAAATCAACACAGACTGTGGAAACTTCACACTGGATTTCAAGCATCTTGCAGTGTGTGCCTCTCCATTCTTCCTCCAGACTCTGGGTCCTTGGTTTCCAAATGAGATGCAAAAGTTGCTCTCATCAGAAAAGAGGACTTTGGACCATTGAGCAACAGACCAGTTCTTTTTTTCTTTAGCCCAGGTAAGACACTTCTGACGTTGTTTGTTGTTCAGGAGCAGCTTGACAAGAGGAATACGACATTTGAAGCCCATGTCCGGGATCCGTCTGTGTATGGTGGCTCTTGATGCACTGACTCCAACCTCAGTACACTCCTTGTGAAAGTCCCCAACATTTTTGAATGGCCTTTTCCTGACAATCCTCTCCAGGCTGCGGTCATCCCTGCTGCTTGTGCACCTTTTTCTTCCACACTTTTCCCTTCCACATAACTTTCTATTAATGTGCTTTGATACAGCACTTTGGGAACATCCAACTTCTTTTGCAATTACCTTTTGAGGCTCTCCCTCCTTATGGAGGGTGTCAATGATGGTTTTCTGCACAACTGTCAGGTCAGCAGTCTTTCCCATGATAGTGATTCCTACTGAAGCAGACTGAGAGACCATTTAAAGGCTCAGGAACCCTTTGCAGGTGTTATGGCTTATTTAGCTGATTAGAGTGGGACGCTTTGAGTCTAGAATATTGAACCTTTTCACAATATTCTAATTTTCTGAGATTGTGAATTTGGGGTTTTCATGAGCTATAAATCATAATCATCAAAGTTATGACAAATCAAGGTTTGAACTATCTCGCTTTGCATGTAATGAGTCTATCTCATATATTAGTTTCACCTTTTAAGTTGCATTACTGAAATAAATGAACTTTTGCATGATATTCTAATTTTTTGAATTTCACCTGTATTACAAAGGATTCAAGGATATTTCTGCAAAGTCAGAGAAGAAAATGTTACTAAATGAATAAAAGGATAAACTCTTGTTGTACAAACCACTTTTGTAACAGTGGATGTAAGTGCACCATTACATACATACTACATGAGTTTTAATACTATTTGAATTTGTGAATACGTGAAACCTTAATATGACACAATGAAGCAGCTGATAAGATTTATAGAAATAAATTTTACAAAGTTTAATTAGGAGTTATTTCTTAAATTAAATTAGCAGTTTAATTTTTTTTAAAAAAACCTGAATTTAATTATTCAAAGACAAATTAGCCTCTGACAAGTATCCACAGCATTCAGTTACTTTTGAATATCAAAATATAGACAATCAGGAATGAACAAATACGATATTTTTTTTGTTTTTATCTTCTTCAATGGAAGTTGCATAAAATCCATAGAAAATAACTTGATTGAGAAAAATGATTTTGTATTGTATTATTTGTAACATATAAATAGCATAATTACAAAATTCATTCAAATTAAATGTTTAAAAAGTATAAAAAATATTACATGCAAGTATAAATGACTGAAGCATCTTATGAAATTGAAGAAGTTGCCTATACTAAGAAGACACTTTAGCTTCTTTGTCCGGGAGGGGATATTCTTCTAATTCACCATTAAACATCAGCTCTACAAGAAAAAAACAAAGTATCATAGGATACTAAAATATATTGGAAAATATATGTACAATAAAGTCCATAAAAATAATTCCTCCATTTCCTCCTTCCACCAGGATACAGATAGTCCTTGAGTTACAACAGTTCATTTAATGAGCATTCAAAGTTACAACAGCCTTCAAAAAAAGTGACTTAAAGTCACTTTTTCAAGCTTTCAATCATTACAGTCATTGATCATGGTCATATGATCAAAATTCAGATCCTTGGCAACTGACTCACATTTATGACGGTAGCAGTGTCCCAGAGTCATGTGATCACCTTTTGCGACCTTCTGACAAGCAAAGTCAATGGGGAGGCCAGATTCACGTAACAACTGTGTTATTAACTTAATGATTCATTTAACTGTGGTAAGAAAAGTCATAAATTCACTTAATAAATGTTTCACTTAGCAACAAATTTTGGGCTCTTGTAGTAACTTGAGGACTACCTATACATGGTCTTCTGAAAGTATTACAGCTGGGGAACAGGTTGCAAGCTCATGGGAAGCGGGAAAGAAACCTTAGCATCAGGATTCCCTATTTGCATATGTACCATATTTTTCGGAGTATAAGACGCACCTTTTTCTCCCCTAAAAGAGTGTGAAAATTTGTGTGTGTCTTATACATCAAATGTAGCCTCGCTCTCTGTTTGAGAGGCTGAAAAAAAGCCTCTGACATGGAGGTTTCAGAAGCTGAAAAAAGCCTCTGAAACCTCCATTTGAGAGGCTGAAAAAAGCCTCTGAAACCTCTGTTTGAGAGGCTGAAAAAAAAGCAAGGCGCAGAGCTCACAACCAATGAACCTGTTGCTAAAGTTCACCACTGGGAGCAGCTGATTGGGGGTATTCTAGGAGGCGGATCCACCCTAATCAGCTTTTTTCTTATTTTCCTCCCCAAAAACTAAGGTGCTTCTTATACTCCAGTGCATCTTATAGTCTGAAAAATACAGTAACTCCTTCAGATTATTGCACATATAAAATTCTCTTCTGCAAACTGAAAAAGATATCACTCAGCATTCGAAGGTTCCTTAAAATTATTAACACTTTACTCTCAATATATCTGCCAGTACAACAAGGGAATGACACTTGTTAAATGTTTTAAGTGTCAGAAGCGTCACAATTAAAATAAGCATACAACATAACATTTAAAATATAAAATACAAGATTAAGATATGTACTTGTTAAATACTTTTATAGGAACAGTCAAGCTGAGATACCGAATTCTATTTATTGCTGGACAATCCCTTAATTTAATTTATCTAGTCATTTTGCAATACTGCTATCTCTTCAAATATATTCTCTTATTCTTCTTTAACACTGTTATCTGCTGCTCCTTTCCAGGTGACTAATTATTGAAATTACAGCCATACTGTCTCCCTTTTCTTAGTAAATTCCTTGATCTAAAATTGTTTAGGAAAGAATCAGCAATTTGCCATTCAGATAATCTATTAAGGAGATGCACATATTCTAATGGATTACAATCTATCTTCTTATATACCTTCGCTATGATCCAAATGTGGCCGGAATGACAAAAAGAACCAGGAGATCCCAACAAGAATAGCTATCACAAGATTAACCACAATCCAAGGCTGAATAACCTCTTTTTCTTCATCTGAAATCCTGGGTGGGGATGTGGAGTGGGAGAGAGGAGAATCATATGTATTTATTAGTTATGAACACTTCAATTGTATCTGTATAATCATATAGTAAAGATATGCTTAAATTAACTGTCTTTTAAAAAGAAAAAAGTCCATAATTCTTACCAAAGGCTACCATTTTCTAAAGGTGGTATGTACAAGTTGATCCTGTCACTTGTCATTTGTTGGCTCAGAGACAAAATAAGAGCAGCAAAATACACTGAAAGAAACCAATAATGTTTATTATTGGGATACTCCAGTTTTTTAGAATAGAGTTAACAACACATTAACCTGTCTGATCCTTATGTTTGTTCCATCAATCTGATTCATCAGAGTACAGGTAGTCCTCAATTTATGACCACAATTGAGCCCGTTTATGTTGTTAAGTGAGACATTTGTTAAGTGAGTTTTGCCCCATTTTATGATGTTTCTTGTCCCAGTTAAGTGAATCACTGCAGTTGATAAATTAGTAACATGGTTGTTAAGTGAATATGGCTTCCCCATTGACTTTGCTTGTCAAAAGGTTGCAAAAGGAATCACATGACCTTGGGACACAGCAATGGTCATATGTACAGTATGAGTCAGTTGCCAAGCATCTGAATTTTGATCACAGGATCATTGGGATGCTACAAAGGTTATAAGTGTGAAAAATTGTCATAAGTCACTTTTTTCAGTGCCATTGTAATTTTGAACAGTCATTAAAAGTCAAGGTCTATCTATAGTAATAGCTAATTACATATCATTCATTTACATCAATATTCCTTCAAATTCATTACTTTTCCAGCACAGAAAATATTCCGGCCAACTTTATTTAAATATTCAAGCAGAAGAAGCAGTAAATCCATGCATGTTAGCATTGCTAAAGGAATCAGGTTTTCAAAACTGTGAAAATGATTACACTATTGCCACAACCTCCCAAATTCTTTGTTCACTGCCTAGATTTTCCCTTTCAGGAATTCCAAAAAAACAAAACACTGATAGCATTCAGTCTGCTCTTCTCTGCCCTATGTCAGAAAATAAGCTTGCTGCTACTGGTAGCCTATTCAGGGAACAGATACAGAAGAGAAGTGTGAAATACAAATCTGCAGAATTATCAGATTATTACTTGATAAATACTTATATAACCAGTTTAGAGCCTCCCACCATTACTTTAATTTAACAAAGTATTGTGATAGTCCTTATGGAAATGGTTGCCTTTTTACAATACACAACAAAAACAGTTATATGAAAACAAAAGAACAAGGCCGTAAGATCAGGAATGAAAATATAATTAAGACATAAACTTGAGTAATTAGCTAATGTTTTTTGGTCAGCTAATGCTGCTTACTCACTGAAAGAGGCAATTGCTGCTGGGTCCAATGTAAGAAAACTACGTACTGCCACTGCTGCTTTAGCCAAATCGATTCTGAACAATAAGTATGAAATGGATTTAATTAAAAGTAGCCACTAAATGGTTGACTTAGTTCTGCTATATCTCTGAAGAAATTATCCACTGATGTTAAGGAAATAAGATATCTTTTAAAACCTTGATCTAATGGGCCAATTATTTCATCAGAGTAATTAACCTACGTTGGTATCATTGGTTAAGCTAGATGCCCCTGGTTCAGAAATATTGATAACAAAAGTTTATAATAAAAGAATAAAGAATTTCAAAAGTAGGAAGTATAAGCAACTAGCAGAACACAATGCAAATCTTTCTGGCTTGAGAATAGTTTTCATACTGTTTTAAGATGTTAAATCTTAAAAATCATTAGAAAAAATCTGATGGGCCAATTTATACTGCACTGCTACAATTATAAATATTAAGATTTTAAGCTATTAATCATTTTTTTCAATTAATAGGATAACTTCACAATGAATCATAGCATTGTCATCAAGACAGAGGAACGCACAAATACTTATACCTGTCAAAAGCTGAAATGGTACTAATTGTAAGTAGAAAATAAAGGAGGCATTGAGCAGGATATGCCAAAGTCTTGTACTGCTGTAGCAAGTTTGAAAGAGTTGAAAACTGATTTCCTGCCAGAACATAAATCACTATGATGTTCCACACAGCATAGCCAGCGAGAAAGCCGTGAGTAAAAAATCCAATTACTCTAATAAAAGAAAGCATATTAACAAAAAATTAAACTTGTACAATTCTTACAGAGTTAAATGTTCAGAATGTCAGATTTACAATAACTTTTATGTCCACCATCTTAAATTGTTTCTAGTTACCGTATTTTTCAGACTATAAAACGCACCCCCCCCAAAAAAGTGGGTGGAAATGTCTGTGTGTCTTATAGAGTGAATACGGGCCTGTTTTTAGCCTCCCAAACCCTCTGTGGGTCCCGTTTTTGCCCTCCCCAGCGTCCAGAAGCACTCTGCAGGCTAAAAACGGGCCATTGTTTGGCCTCCCAAACCCTCCGCAGGTCTTGTTTCTGCCCTCCCCGGTGTTCAGAAGTACTCTGCAGGCTAAAAACAGGCCCGTTTTTGGCCTCCCAAATCCTCCATGCATCCCGTTTTTGTCCTCCCCAGCATCCAGAAACACTCTGCAGGTGTTTTTGGCCTTCGGAGGCCTCTACGGGTCGGGGAGGGCAAAAATGGGGCGCACAGAGGGTTTGGGAGACCAAAAACAGGCCCTCCCTGGCATCCAGAAGCCGGCCAGCCCAGGCCTGTTTTTGGCCAGCAGAATGCTTCTGGATGCCAGGGAGGGCAAAAATGGGACGCACGGAGGCCAAAAACTTTTTTTTTTTCTTGTCTTCCTTCTCTAAACCTAGGTGTGTCTTATAGTCCAGTACAATGTTATAGTCCAAAAAATATGGTAATTAGAGTCAGAATTCCCTAAATTCAGAATTTAATGAATTAAATTCAAATTCTAGCCTTTGAATTTGCCTAGTCAGTAGTAGTTTTCATCTATGCAATAGGGACTTTTGAATTCAGGTTCCAAGTTATTAACCTGTATTAAAGTTATTCAAGTCACAGAGGGGAATGTTCAAAACCAAAATATTTTAGTTAATAATCTCTATTAAAATATTGTTTGTGGGTGGCAAATAACATTTATAAGAAATAATTACAAGTGGAGGCCAATCGTTATATCAATTACTGTCATTCTTTGAAGGAATTACCAGGTTGTTAATTGTTGTGAAAGACCATTTATTTAATTTGACTGAACTCACTAGGCAGAATATTACAGTGATTATGCAAGCATCACACATTAAAACTTTCAGACAAATATCCCAAGATGGACAAATGGGAAGAATTAAGATGCAGTGGAAGTGTGTTTCTTATGATGGGATTCTGTTAATATATTCTGAAACAGAACTTCTTGTAAATAGAGAGGGGCTCCACATAGCTCTAAAGTAAGGTTAAGTGATTGCTAAGCAGATGCTCACCTGCATTATGAAGTGAAATCTTAGGGAGTTTGCTAAATAATTGCATCTTAGTGAATCAACATTTCACATGGGCATGAGACCAAGACAGAGAGAAAGATGGTGGAAAGAAAGAGAATCTGATTACAAAGTCAGGAGTAGCCATTACTGGACATCAGAGCCTGAGTGGCGTAGGAGGCTAATGCCTCCTAAGGCAGCATTTAACATCCAGCTGCCTGCAATTACTGCGAGTTCAATTCTCACCAGGCTCAAGGTCGACTCAGCCTTCCATCCTTTCTAAGGTGGGTAAATTGAGGACCCAGTTTGTGGGGGTAATAAGCTGACTTTGTATAAATATACAAAAGTATGAAGGCTATTGCTTAACGCATTGTAAGCCGCCCTGAGTCTCCGGAGAAGGGCGGCATATAAATCAAATTTTAAAAAAATAATTTAATCACTTGTTCATTTTTAATGTCAATAGTGGGAATAATTTCATACCTAAAACCACGATGAACTGAAAGTGCCACATCCTTAGTAGTCCAGGAAGCCTTTATATCCATAAACACTTGAACATGTTCAGTAGTTTTAATCAAATCCTTGCGGTCTGTGGCCTGAAAACGCCCTTAGAAAAGAAAAGAAATGTAAGTGCTTGTAAGAAAAATATTGTTACAACTTCCGATTACTATACTTGTTCATAAAAATATATGAAACTTTTTGGTTAGAGTATAAATTGAGACTACATACATAATAACACATATACATACTTTTCTATTACAAACTCATTGCTGCTCTTACTGTATATTAGGAATGTCATCTGAAAGCAAACCCCACTGACTTCAGTGAAACATGACTATTTACAAGATGACTATTTGGTGGTACTTAATTTCCTACAGTCACCAGAAGCCCTCTTTTCAGCCTAATAGACAAATTCTTAACACTTTGGTTCTACTAATCTCAGCCAAAAAAAAATTATTATATTACATTTCTACACCACCCATTTCATCTATGAGAGAATCCTAAATATGAGATAATATTATTTCTCTATATAAATAAAAATAAGTAGCTCTAGGTGGTTTACAAAAACAATATATTCTTCAAATTTTCTTAGAGCTTCATGATGTCAGACTATACTATTTCTAACAGCAGGAGCATTATAATGCATTAGGTGCAGAACGATATGCCTCAAGAATTCTGCAAATTTCTTCAAAAGAAAATGAAATGGCACAAAGGCAAATTCGCTAAATCAGATTTTTAAATTTTCTAAAAAGTCAACAATGACTTTTAGGATGAGTTCCTGCACTTTTTAAAATTAAGTGATGCCAAGGGTTGTCTGATGGCACAGATACTTCATGTAAGCTTTGTATGAGTTTTAATACGATATATATATTAAAATTATAAACTGCCAGAGTTACTAAGTGGCCTTGAAATTGATTAAATAAATAGACATAATCTGGATAAAGAAAGTAATTCCTACAAGGTGAGATGGGAATTGTCATCATTTATTTGTTCAAATATACTAACATTTTGTTGTAAAACAAATTACTTACGATTTTTTTCAACAAACACTTTGCTAATAGGTTGGCTAACTCCAGTTGGAACAGAAAACACAGAACGTTGTTCTGTGCCTTTTACTTGCTCATCCTCAATTATATCTTCATCCTCCACACACAATTCACTGGAACTTTCTGCAGGCCGGGCTTTCCTAACATTATAGTAGTAAAGAAAAAAGAACAGTCATTTTCTTTTTTTAATGTTAATGACTCAGAGTATACCTGTGCCATATATTTGCTAGGATTGTGACACAATCTGCATTCAAAGAGGCGGTAAGTACATCACATCTTCTGGCAGCTGCTTAAATCAAATTCATCTTTTCCTAAATTTGCAAACTGCTGATTCAGAAAAAGATGGAGTAGTTTTAAGGAACTGTTGAATCCTCCAAATCATCTTTCTCCCTTCAAATCCACAGAGCTATTATGTTTCTCAAAGGATAATCGGTGCTCTTCTACTGTGATGGAATACAGAAAGAAGGTGGATTCATAGAATGGAAGAGGGTGCATTCCAGAGGAGTTAAAGCAACATAGTCCAGATTGGTGTGAGAGGAAGAAAGTGAAGACTAATATTTCACATTATAGATGCAGATAATAGAGTGCTTAGTCTGGCAAGATTTTGTCTATAGGCATGAAACAATAAAGAAAGTTTGGAAGAATTCATGCGACATTCTTGGTTTTGGGCCTGGCAACTAGAGTGAACCAGAAGTTGATCCAAAGTACTGTATATTCTCCCAGATCAGAAACTTATAGGAATCAATGTAAACATGATACACAATATTAAGAATGGCATATTGCATTTCACTCTGGCACTGTAAAAGAAAGAAGGAAAGAATAAAAAATTCTGGTTAACAGTAGAGACAGGGCTTGGCTACTTGAGCAATTGCCCGTCTTAGCATCTGCCCGGCCAATTTCATCTTGCAGAGTTGACATGCTTTGAGTAAATCTGTCAGCTTCCCTACAAAAGCATTCTGAAATTCTACACACACACACACACACACACACGTAGATAACTCAGATAAAAGATCATCAGTTTACTGTCAAACAACATACATTGAAAGCTTGTTACTTCAGAAAGAATGTAGAAATCAATCAAAAAGTCTCACTTTACTCTTTTCCATTGTTTACGAGTTACTGTTTCTTCCACTGGTGAAGGATCCATGTCATTTCCATTCTGTTCAGTAAATGATGTTTCAGATTCTGAAAATTTCAAATGGAAAACCAAGAAATTTGTGCTGGGTAAAAATATTATTTGTACCCTTAGTTCCAGAAGAGATGGCTACGAGAGCAAGCACTTCCTTTGCCAATAAGGTTTTATATAAATGGAGCTCCTTTTCTTCTTCACAAGAATAACTCTGTGAAGAAGGGATGCATGTACTGCTCCTTAATAGAAAGGTAGGAAATAAATATACTAAACATGTGTCAGGAATTCCAGAAACCACATAAAAAAAGTATTCAGTATATTTATTTCCTACCTTTCTATTAAGGAGCAGTACATGCATCTTTTCCCCAATAAATTTTCTCATGAGTAACTCAGGCAGGAACCCCACATGTATTGCCTTGAATTCCAAATAAAAAGTGAGATGTAATATAAATAACTCTGTAAGGTAGATTGTGCTAAGAGGTAATGATTTACACAAAGACGTGTTTACAAAACAGTATGTTTTATGAGTGAATTTGAGTTGGAGTATCTTCCTAGTCATATATCAACTGGGAAAACACAGTGACATTCTTGCTGTATTAAAAATTAATTCCAAAACAGTACAGCTGTAGTGCATTTCATAATAAAAATCTTTATTTTCATTATCATAAGATCAAGCACTTCAAGAGTGCCCAGCAACTAAAAATGTATTACTGCTGATTTTATTATTATTTTTACTGTGAGATACAGTATTGTAAGACACTGTGAGAAACCGTCAAGTATTGTGAGTACTTCCATAACCATGTCATGCAAAAAATGGTAAGGGAGTAATATAGTTGTACCTGTTTTGCTGGTTGCCTTTCCTTTTATTTTTAGCATTCCATGGAAACTAATAACAACACTGGTTATGTAAGCATGGGCATCTCATCAGCAATGAGCTGCAGTAAGCATTACCTGCTTCTCTTCTAATAGTCAGAACAGATGTTCAGCTTTACAATTCTTTAAGCCAAGAGAGGATGAGACATTGATTTGTTATATTATGCCTGAACAGTGACTGTCACATTAAATCTGTTCTAGTCACTGCACTCTAATGGAGATGACCAATTACAGGCTGTTTTGTATCTCATATAATTCTGAAAGATGATCAGCAGAACACTAGCATCTCAATTTCTCAACTGCTGCAAGGAGTCCTAGTTTAAGCAGATTATTTTGACTGGTTTCAGAGGAAGCTGCAGGGATAAGCCTGCCTTGGTAGACAAAATGATCTTTGATCGGGGAAAAGATCCCCAACTATCCTTGACTTCTCATTAACTTTCATTACCATCAACCATGACTTCCTTTTAAATTACTTTAAAGATATTATTTATTGAAATATTTTCTATGATTCCATTCCTATCTGTCTAACGTGCTTAAAATAGTGTTGCTTGGACATAATTGCTCCATGAAAACTGGAATTCATGGTGTTCCTTGGGTTTCATATTATCTACAGTGTCTACAATTCAGTGTCTTCAATGTCTACACATTGAAAGTTCATTAGGCATTTTAGATCAGTATATCCAATTTATTTCATTGCAACATCTTCAGGTAAGGGTGGAAGACACCTGAATGATTGCCTACAGTCAATAATAGGCTGTATGGGATAACAAACTGAAACAGGATAACCAGAATTGCTTAGTATGAATGAATCACAGTTTATGATTTTAGATTGGCTTCACATTTCTAGGAGATGATCTTTTCTCAGAGTGCTTCTGAATCTGGAGTGTTTTATCAACTTTGGCTGATACTTTCAGTTTTAATTTTACTTAGGGAAAATTGACATAAGAAGGTACTGCAGACACGGATATCATTCAGTCTTAACTATGGACAAGCTCTGGAAACTTCAGTTAATACAGAAATCAAGGACATAAAACTTCATATTATATCTATGTGGAAAGTTTTATATTGGCTGCTATTTCATTTCCAGATGTGATAAAGTACTGGTTATTACTTTTCAAGCCTTCTATGGCTTTTAGCTTTCTAAATCTAAAAATATCTTTTTGATCAGGCCACATTTTAATATTCTTAGACTGAAATTTCATTTTTATTATAAACCATTTAAAAACATTTTTAACTATCAGCATATGCAGCCTAAAATTAATAATAATGATGCATTGGCTTGGCTTGGCTTGGCTTGTATTCTCTGCTGAAATTATTTTTCAAAATTCTTCACATACCTAGAGGCACCTTCTTTTTCCTACGCTTCTTCTGAGGTGGAACATCCTGTACTTCAGGAGTCAGAGGCTCATTGCTTTCAGACACAGCAACTTGACCCATGTCATCTAAAATGGATTATGTGCCATCAAGTCAGTGTCGACTGTTAATAACCATAAAGACAGGCAGAAGTTATCTAAGAAGCACTGCTGAAAGGTAGTTTCAGTGCATCACAGGATGCTTCCGAGCCTTTGAAGACCTGCACAAAAAACCTTTGATCCTAGTTAGCTCTTGCTGAATTCTTCAAAGACTTTATTGGAACATTTTATATTTCACACAATATTTACCAGCAAGTACGAACTGCATTAAAGTTAGGATGTTGTCAACTGCAGGTTAGTCCTACAGTTATGATGGTAATTGGGATTGCAACTGCTATTGCTAAGTGACATGACATAACACAACTTTTTTGCTAATTCATTAACCAAGGAACATGCTTGTGACCTCTTACCAACCTATCCATTGACTTTGCTTGTGGGAAGCTTGCAGGGAATGTCAGAAATCACAATTATGTGATCCAGTAGCCATTAGGATTTACTTTTGTACTACCTTTAGTTAGTTGTGTGTATATTGCTGGCAATGCAGTTGTTAGAATGCAGTATTGCAGGCTAACTCTGCCCACAGCTGGAGTTTGATTCTGATGGCCCCCAAGATTGACTTAGCTTTCCATCCTTCCGAGGTCAGTAAAATAAGGACCCAGGCTGTTGGAGGCAATATGCAAATAATGCTTGTACATTGTAAACAGCCTAGAGAGTTCTGTAAAGGGGCAGTATGCAAGTCTAAATACTATTGCTAGTGCTGTAATATAAACTGTCTCAGTAAACATAAAACTACTATTATTTATGAAACAATATTTGAAGACGTGAAGCATCCTTCATAGAGTACCTGGAGCTCAAGTAATAACTCTAATCCAGAATTAAGAAGCCAACAGATATAATGCCATTCATAAATTGCACTTTTAAATTCTCTATATTCTCTTCATCTAAACTTGCCTGCTTGGTTGTTAACTGAATCATCTTCTTACCTAATGAGTTTTTCTTGAGTTTTTTCTTTTTGGGCCGACTAAGAGGAATTTCATCTGCAAAACCAAAAGCCAAGAATTAGCTGGTCCCATAATAGTAAATATAGATTTTTATTATCTGTATAAATGCTTTAAGTACATTGTTCAAACTATTTCATGTGCATTATCTAATTGAGTATTTACAATTGTCCAATCACCTTAATGCTCGCTCCCAGTTTGAAATTCCATGCTGCCTCTTTTCATTTTAACCACCTAAATATTTTAGAATCTTGGTTAACTCACTACCTTAAACTCTAGGTTATTTATGAATAAGTTAAAAGCATTAAGTCCAATGCAGTCCCTTGGGAAATGTCACTAGTTATATAACTCTTACTTTGTTGCCTTATCTTTATTCCTATGTTGCTTCCAGACTCAGGGTTGAACTGTGGAGTCCTTGGTGCTATCTGTGCTTGATGGTTTACTTGCAGATGCTTCATTAGCTAATTAGGCAACATCATTATAGGTAGCCCTCAATTTAAAGCCACAATTGGGGCCAGGACATCCATTGCTAAGCAAAGCAGTTAAGTGAGTTACATCCAATTTTATGACTGTTTTGTTGTGGTCATTTAATTAATCATATGGTCATTAAGCAAATCTGGCTTCCCCCATTGACTTTGGGTGGGTCATAAATGATGATCCCATGACCCCGGGATGCTGCAACCATCATAAATACATGTTAATTGCCTAGTTTCTGAAGTTTGTGATGGCTGGTTATCACTTTTTTCAGCACTGTTGTAACTTTGAATGGTTATTACATGAATGGTTATAAATCGAGGACTATCTGTAGAGTTGGTGTGAGGTTTTCTCCCTGTTTATCTATAGTAACTTTCCCTGCCAGGGTTGGTGAGGTGCTTGGTAGCTCCTTAAACAGGTATTGCTTTCCGCTTGATTGTTTGTCTGATACTAATCATTACTTATCTGGATGTAGGCTACTGGAGACAATGTGTTCTGTCTTTTTGTTACCTTAGTTTTTTTACTGTCTTTTTTGAATGGTGTATAAATGTGGTTTAGCTCTATGTGCCTGTTAATTGCTGCTTTGTCTCAATGCCAAGTTTTCAGGAATTCCTTAGTGTTTTTGGATTCAGCTTTGCCGAGGATGCTTATAGTTTCCTAGTTGAAACTATGGTTGAGTGAGTCTCTTAATTATTGTGAGAGTAAGGGGTTTTCATTGTGTCTTCTGATTGCTAATTGGTATTCATGGATGCACTGTG